GTTCCTCCTGTGCTTGCTGTAACAAATTCATGCCTCCAAGGACCAGGGTCAAACATCACCCAGAGCTCAGGGGGCTGGGGTGGGGGGCTGGGGTGGCATGTTGCAGAGCGGTCGCTGTAGTGAGGTCCTGGTGTGAGCAGGGTCTCTCTAAAGCCTGGTTCCCAGACCCTCTAGGTGATTTTGGTTTTGCTGCAATGCTAAGGCTGGTGCTTTTTCTCCGGCAGGATCTGAGACCACTGTATGCAGGGCGATGTCAGTACTACACGAGTACAAGCCAACCAGAGGTGAGAGCAGGTTTGGCTGTGCTGTCTCCATGAAGGGGCTTCAGGGTGCAGGTGGAGGAACCTGCTGCCATGCTGCTGCTCTGGTGTCCTGGAGGTCTGCAAAGTGATGAGGGGTGGGATGCTGGGTCTGGGGTGGGAGCAGGGTGCTGGGAGGGTTTGGGATGTGAATTCCTCCGTGCTTGGTACTGCCTCATTACTGAAGGAGTAGCTGGAGAGGAGGGATATGGGATAGGAAAAGACACCAGTTTCTTTAGATCTTCAGCTATGCATTCATTACAGGAGCAGGGTGGTGGGTTAAGAGTTCAGACAGCAGTAATTTCTGTGTCTATGAGCAACATGTACCAGCCTCTGTTATTGCCTTTTCCAAAGAAAAGCCTCTTGGGGATGGATGATCCTGCCACATACTCTGTGTGTATGGACTTCTTTGTCTGCCTTTGCTGTGCACTGATAGTCTCTCAGAGATTTCCTCACAAGTTCCCAAGTGGTTTTGAATAACTACTATATTCCAAATTGGAATGCCTGCTTGAGCTGCAAAGTTACGTACTACCCAGTGGCATTGGTGGGGTCCACTCTCTTTTCAGGTCAAAACCTTCCACTTGAGCTTGGGTGTTACTGCCCAAGGGCAGACAATGAACCAGTTTGGTCAGTTATGCACTGTAACAGCTCTTTGCACTGAGGTGCAGTGTGGTGAGGGATGTTAGTTCAGCAACGTCCTGGCTGTTTGTAAGGGTTACAAAACCCCCTTCCTATGCAGGCATGTGCTTGTCTGCGAGTTCCCCATGGTGAAAGGAAATGCTGCTCTGTTCTAGTCTAGTGCATATTTCCTCCAGTGTAACTGTGTACTTTGTAGGAGCAAAATAAGACAAGAAAGATCTGCCTGGGGCTAGTCTGGAGATCAGTGCAAAATCTACATGCAGAGCAGGCCAAATATCAGGAGGAACTATGTTTGGAGATTGTGTCCTTATGTGCTTTTCTTTTATTTTCTGTATTCACACAGGCAATCTGCCACCCACAGCGCCGTGCCCCCTGCACACAGAAAATAAAATCCAACACCTGCTTCTGCTGTGACCTGTACAACTGTGGGAAGTAAGCTAAAGATACCATTCCCGGCCATGGGAAGGGCAAGCAGGTCATGCTGCCTTGCAGGTGTCTGTGTCGTGGGCAGAGTGGGAGCTTCAGACAGTGTTTGTGAGAGAAGTTCTCCTATTGAGTCCCAGGTGCAGAAAGGACCCCCTTGCTTTCTAAACTCCTGCTCAGAGAGGAGCCTGGTGGGGGCTGGATCCAGTCTTAGCCCCAGACTTTGTCAATGGTTTATGTCTAAAGGATTATACAGATGGAATTGAACCTTTGCACAACTTTGTCCCGCAGGGATTAAGGATGGCAAACCAGATATATTCATATAGATATATATGATTTATTATGAGAATGATTAGACAAAAAGGTTTTAATCAGAATTATTTACTACACAGTATAGGAGCTATAACAACTATTATAATATAGTGCACTATAAAGCAATATTGAAGCAATATTAAAGCAATTGTATTAAAGTTAGCAAAACCAATTATTAAGTAGAGATTGATGTTACTCACCCATACCAATGACTGTGGGCAAATCTCTTTCGTTCAGCCTCAAGGAGTAGCCTTGAGGGGTGTCCCCACTCAAGGGAGGAATCCTCACACATACACTCCAAGAAGAGGTATGTTAGAAGACCCGACCCTTAAAATTTGGGACTGGGCTTTTATAGTAGTAAGGTGATTGAAGTCAGTCAGATGTCTCCAGGCTGTGTCAGCTCAGCAGCTTTAGATAAGTTATCAGAAGTATCGTTTATTTGTTCCTTTACCAGTTTTACCATATCTTCATCTCACCCTCAGGATGTTTAACTTTGGGATTGATGAGTCTGACTGGTTTCAGCATCATTTCAGCACCAAAAGCAGCATGAGCCCCTTCTCCTTTTACCATGGATAACTTTGCAAATAGGGCATGTATCAAGTTGTTGTACCCCATTCCAAGGCAGAGCATCCTGCTACAGTCTGAAGGGCCAGGATAGTATTGGTTAATGACAGTTGTTGTGGGAAGGATTCTTAAGCTGTGGCTGCTAGCCACAAGGAGTCTCAGACAAAGCTAACCAAGTAAAGAAGTGTGTGAAATACACCAAAGCTATCACAGCTATGAGTGAGCGTGCTCCAGGCCAACCCAGATGGAAAAATACAGAGGACAGGAGTTTTCCATTACTTTCATGCTTGGTGTCCTCCCCAGGTTTTCCCCTATTGAGTGTCCCTTGTCTTAACACCTTCCTTCTCTGTTGGCACTGCTTCTCCACTGGATTGGGTATTTTATGTTTTAGAAGATTAAAGATGTAGAAACTGGGACACTGTTCTTCATTCCTTGTCACCATTTTATTCCCTACCCTGCTAACAGGGAGGAGAGTTTGCAGGCTGGTGTCATCTGTGTGTTCATAAAAACCAGTGTCCTCTCTGCCCAGTGAATACCTTTCATGGTCACAGGGGATTGGAAGGTGAACCAGCACTGTCCAGTGATGACTCAGACAGTGGTTACCAATCGAAAACCACTGCATAGTCATCACACCAGCTAGATCTGGCTACTGTGCCTAAGCCAGCTTCATTTACAGCATGCATTGCTTCTGTCATGTGGAGTGTCTAATGTGTGTCACCAAGCAATTAATAAATGGGTTTATTTTTTTTTCAGTACTGGCTCTTGCCTAGGGCTGGTTCAAGCTTAGCATTTCTCACAGTACTTAGCTGGGCTGGCCCCCACCTAAATCATTGACTGTGGTAGAGGAAGATCAAAAGCTGCTGTTGGGAGAGGGTGGGTGGTTCCACGTGCTGGGAAGTGTGATCCCTGGTCTCTGTAGCACTTTGTGTCTGTGGGAGACACTGCAGAGGGGTGAAGCTCACATTTTCCTTTGGCTGTTTACAGAACATGATCCCTTTTTACTAGCTGCAGAGAAGTGATTGGAATAGAAAACCTTTTCTGTATTTCCTTCTCTTTTGTTTTTATTTTTTTCCCAGTCAGGCTGGTTCAGAGTCCTGCCTCTGACCCATTTCCCCATCTCTGGTACAAGATACCAGTTGTTACCATCTTAATTTTGCTCAGTTCCGTCGGGGGTATTCCGCACGGGGAGGCAAGCAACCGACTCAGTGTGAGTGATAAAGCAAGATTCAGCTTTATTGTTAGCTCAGTTTTTCTTTTATACAGTACACAATAAATGCACCTATTCATCCCTTTAGCATTGCCTAAGAGTATTACCTAAGCTCTAAAATTTACATTTATATACTTTTTCTGCTTGCGGTTGCAGCTGTGAAGAATTCTTCTTTATTCTCTGAATAATTCTTCTTTATTCTCCTGGATAGCCTGCCCTTGAGCTTGCAACATTATGCTGAGAAGCTAAATTCTTGAGGCCTGCTTCATAGTTATATGCTCAAAGTTCCCACAGGGCCTTGCTCACACAATGTTCTCTTGGGGCTATGCCCCTGTTCCCTTAGCCATTCTTCAACACAGTACCACACAAATGTCCTGCACTCAGGAGGTGCTGGCTTCATTTAGAATCTCAGTAAGAAAGGCACAGACTCAAGGATGGTTGGTGCATATGTAAAGGATGGAAATTATGGAAAAAGACAATCAAAACAAGGACAGCAATCTTGCATGCTTCCTGGTGCTGGGAACCCCGGCTGTGGCAGCAGGGAACGGGCCCCTTCCCCTTGATAAGTACATGTTGTACTTACCTGAACAATGTGGGAGATTTATGCTCTCACACATCTCCATAGGAACGAGAGCTGGCAAACAGCACACACAGGTTGTATTGTTAGAGGCAGTCACGGTGTGTGCTCAGGTTACACAGAGGTCGTGCCAGCTAATGCACAGGGTTTTGTAACCTGTGGTTATGCTCTGCCTTGTTTCTGCTTGAAATCTTCATCTCCTCATTGCAATGTCTCCTGCAGTGTCCTGCTACAATGAAATATGGGAAAAAGGGAAAAGAAGAAGTCAAAATTGAGTAATGAGGGAAGGAGGGTGGCTCTTGTGAAAGGGGGTAGGTTCCTGCAGGCCTTGAGGAGTCTGCTGGGGAGCTGCCTGGATCTCCTGCTTCTTAGCCTTAAATATAAACCTGTTCTTCCCCATTTCCTCAAAGCCCTCATGCAGTTTGAGCCTAACCCCATATGTGAGCTGGGAGATAAGTCATTCACAAACCCTTTATAATTGTTTGTCCCTGATCAATAGGTTTTCTGCAGGGAAATTTGCTGTAACCCACTACATCTGGTAACCTATGCTGAAGGTCAACCTGTGTCCCCCATCCCAGCCATCAGTGAGAATTCATTCCTGAAGAATCCCACAGCAAGACTCCAGCTCATATGTTGCAGGAGCAGCTTTGCCTTTTCCAAAATAATGACCTAACTGGATTCTACTGAGTTTTCTCCATCTCTTTTCTGTGTGAAAAAGCTTCAATACATGAGCCAGAAAGACCTTTCCCTGCCAGGGTGCCAGGGCTCCAGCCAGAGGCCATTGTAGAGCTGCAAAGGACAGGCAGCTGGAGGAGGGCATGGAGCTGGATGCACTTTGGGGCCAAGCCCTGTGGTGCCAGGCAGCCAGCTGTGCTGCCCTGTGCCCATCCCACCCAGCTGCTCTGTGGCTGTGAGGAGCAGCAAGCACTGCCCTGGGGGAAAGCTGCTGCTCCTCAGGGCACACACTGATTTCCCTGGATAATTCCAAGACTGGTTTGTCCAAGTCTTCAGGATCTCTGTGGAGATTTCAGGTGATAGAAATAAGGGGGAGATTCAGACTCAAGTTCATTTGGGTATTTGCGGGGCTTGTTTGTTTCAGAACAGACCAAGTCATCCTCTGCTGTCACTGTGCAGGGACATCTCGGATGGCACAAGTGTGGGATCTGGCAGGGTTTATCCCAACTCCATAGGTACTAGGGTCCAGGCTGTCAATGAATTGCAAAATACATTTTGCTGTCCAGCAGAAGTGCTTAGGTTTTACAGTGTGTGGTGCTTTTTTTATCATTATTGTTGGTTTTTTTCCTAATGTAGCAGAGTAGAGATTTCTGGAGGCTACTATGAATACATTGATGTCAGCAGCTGCCAGGACATCATCCACCTTTACCATTTGCTCTGGTCAGCAACGATTCTGAACATAGTGGGGCTGTTCCTGGGGATCATTACAGCAGCGATACTTGGAGGCTTTAAAGACATGGTAAGATGGTATCAATTTCTCTGTGCACTAAAGAAAACAAGTCAGGCAAATTGTCTTTTAAAAATAATAGGAAGAACAGCTATCAGTATTTCAATGCAAATGATCTATGCATCACTGCAATCAGGGTGGAAAGAAGGGCAGGAAATAACTGTAAGGAGAAAGTGGAAATGAATCATTTTTCTGATCTCGTGTCACCATCTGAGCACAGTTAGAAAAGGTGAACAGAATTGGGGAATTGTATTTTCAAAAGAAACCTTTGCACAGGTGTTGGCAATACCAGGATGAATAAAAATAAGCTCCTTCTTAAAAAATGATCTTGCTTTTCAAAGCATTCACATTCTACAAGGACAAGCAGTGGTTGCTCATGAATTATTGATTTTCCAGTAGTAGTAGTAGGGTTCTGAGCTTTACAGACTGTCTAAGCAGCTGTGTTAGGCTGAAACTCTCCATCTAGTTTCTTCATGGTGCAGAACTGAGAGGGTGAACTGGGAATCAAAACCAAATTTAGACAATGGAAAAAAAATTGCTATTCTAACAATGTGAGCTTTGAAATACCCTCACTTAACCAGGCTGTTTGTTACCTTCCATACAGTTTTGTCCTGAACAGCACAAATCAGTGGGGAAACAGATCCATTTGGGGTTTTTCAGTCTCTTATGGCTCATTTAGAACAACACAAAGTGAGATACACAGAAAAGGGCATTTGTTGTCCTGGCTATACACTTTTCTTACATTTTTCTTTAGCCCTGCACTGAGTGCCTTGTTTCAGAGCTCTGAACTTTGACTCACCAATATCTTCCCAAATAAAACAGGAGACATATTCCTAGCTGTGCATCATAGCCCATTGAGATTTGATCCACACAAGACAGCCTGTAAACCTCTGCAAAAAAAAAAAGATGTACAGAAGTGTCTGTGAGCAGCAGTACAAGAGGAGCTGAAATACCTCAAAATGCACTGAATAACAGAGTAATCAGAATTTCTCCTACTTATGAAGATGCAAATCTGTTTTGTTTGAGTACTGGGGGGCACTGGGCTATTGCCAGCTCTTTCTGTGGAATCTGAGAGGAAACAATAAGTGACCCAGGAATGAAATGACCTCAGGACTTAGCTGCTGCCTGAGAGGGAACCGGATTGCCAGTTGCTATTTCAACACAGTTGAGGTCTAGAGACACACAGTGCTCTTTTAAATCTTTTCTGCTTTCATTCAGCTGTCAGCTTTCCATGACTTGGTTAGCAGCCTCAGATTCTCTTCTTTTTGTTTTAACAGACTCCTTCCCTCCCCACGCTGAACTGTACAGTTGAAAATGCACACCCGACGGTGTCCTACTACTCAAGGCCACAAGTGACATCTTACAACACCTACTACCACAGCACTCCTCACCTGCCTCCCTACTCTGCATATGACTTTCAGGTAGGGAATGTTACAGGATGTTGTTTTGTTTAGCAGCAAGGTTAAATCCAGCCAGTCTGCAGGACTCTGGAGGCCTGTCCTCCCATCATTCACACAGTTTAATATTCTTGTTCCTGCAGAAAATACTAAATCTTTTCCTACTAGGCATTGGTCCTTGGAAGTGCTCACTCTTACTACAACAGTGTTTTGCTGAAAGCTGTCCTTGAAGTGAAGGCAACAGAATCTGCTGCCTGCCTGGCTTACTGTTCACTAGTAGAGGCCACATTAAAAATAGGCATTGCCTCTGGCACTGCAGTGTTCTGAGGACAGAGGCAAAGCCAGGTGTTCAGGTGCTGGATTTTATTAGGCCAACTGTTGTGTCTGAGAGAAACAGATGAGCTATTAGAAACAAGTTATATCAGCTCCTGAAGACACATGATGCATGAAAAGCTATTCTGTTTTTTTCCACATGCCTCAGCTGGTCTAAAGATAGTCCTTGCAAGCATCACCTCAGATGTAATGCATCCCTTCCACTTTGAGCTGTGGAGCTGTGTTGGTGGAAATGGGGATTTCACGTGAACCTTGCTGTCAACATCAACTTCACTTGTTGAAGCAGATGAGGACATTTCCTCCTCTGCTCTTCTATCATGTGGTTGTCACCACAGTGGAGATACTAACATGGCACATCGTACGCTTTCCTTACAACCATCAGGGCTGGAGATTCTATTTTGTTAATGAGAACTTAAGATCTTGGACATCAGCTAAGAAGTGTGCTCTGTGACAGCCACCACCTCCCCCATGCATTAGAGGAAAGTGTATCTAAATCTTTCTGGTATTACTGCTAGTACCACTAGACAACAAACACTTGAACACTTAGATCAGAATTTCGAGGACTTATTTATACAGATTTGTGACTCACTTTTGAGATTAATGCTACCTGGGACAGTCACTGGTGTTGTATGACTTCTTGCAGTTCCAAAAATGCCAACATCAGTGCATGCCAAACCAATCTCTGCTGCAAAGTCCCTGTAGTTCTATACACTGCGTGACTCAGGGTTTGTCAGTGCAGGAACCCCAGTGCCTGCAGAGAGCTCAGCATGGGTGGATTCCCTGCTTTTCAGCTGGAAGCACTGCTGAACTCTGCTAAGTCTTACAGCTCAGACAGACAGATCAAAGTCTGTGTTTCACTGCTGTGAGCATAGGTGTTGGCTTAGGAGCCAGCACAAAAGCTGGGCATAAATCGAGGTAATCTAAACTTCTCTTTCAATTGCAATTCCAAGCCTGACCCTTGCTTATCCTCCAGGGAACTTGAGGGCCTGCATGAGACCATTAGCTGAGCCTCTAGCTGTGGAGACTCTCTTGCCTAGAGCCCTACCTTGCTCTGAGCAGTGACTGTACCATGCTGACACCTTCTTCCCTGACATCCTCCAGCACACGGAGCAAGTCCAGCCTTGTCTCTCAAATCCCTTTCAAAGTCTGCACTCCCTCTGCTACAAGTGTGCTTCCCACGCACTCCACACATCTTTCACAAAAAACCAAAACCCAACAGTCCAGAATTTCTAAGGAAGCCTGGGCCCCTGCAAGAGCCTGGCTTTCTCACACAACTCCAGAACTGCAGACCCAGCTCTCTGGTTTTTGGAGGAGCACGAGCAGGAGAGTGTTGCAGCAGCCACTGCTTGTGCCATGGCTAATGACACTCCCTCCACCTCCACTCCACACCTTTCCAGTGGTGAGAGAGGCAGCAAATCTTTCCAGTGGGCCATGATAGCAACTGGGCAGGAGGAAAAGGCCCTGGTGGAAGCAGTGCCAATATCTTACTCCTCACTCACGGTGTGCTTGGTTGGGGACAAGTGGGTGAGAAAGTCATCCCTGCAGAGTTTTGACTTCTGCAGGCCATGAGCCACACTTGACCCTGAGAGGAGAGTGCGGGTGAGTGGTACCTTTCACGCCCAGTCACAAGATGAATTAGTGCCCATGGGCACTCCCATGACCCTGGCAGCACAGTGCAAATCCTTGGCATGGCCGTGCACCACCAAACACTGTTCATTCTGCAGGTGGCCTGTTCAGGTGGGCCACATGACCAACAGCAGCACAGGTGCAGCATGACTGGGACAAAAACACAGTGAATTAGTGGCTAGAGGAGTTGTCGTGGTTTAACCCCAAAACTGGGCCCCATGGAGCCACATGTTCACTCCCCCACGGTGGGATGGGGGAATGAATCAAAACAGTAAAAGTGCGAAAACTCCTGGGTTGATATCAAGACAGTTTAATAGGGAAAGCAAAGGTCACGTGCAAGGAATTCATTCCCCATTTCCCAAGGGCAGATGTTCAGCATCCCCAGGACAGCAAAGCTCCTAACCAGTGACTTGGGAAGACAAACACCATCACTCCAAATGTCCCTCCCTTCTTCCTCCTCCCTCAGTTTTATATGCTGAGCATGAGACATTATGGTCTGGGATATCCCCTGGGTCAGTTGTCCTGGCTGTGTCCCTTCCCAACTCCCTGTGCACCCCCAGCCTCCTCCCTAGTGGGGTGAGGAGCAGAAAAGGTCTTGGCTCTGTGTAAGCACTGCTCAGAGATAAGGAAAACATCCCTCTGTTATCAGCAGAGTTTCCAGCACAAACCCGAACCACAGCCCCAATACCAGCTGCTATGAAGAATGTTAACTCCTTCCCAGCCAAAACCAGCACAGGAGCAAATGGAAGTAGCTGTATTTCTCTGCCTGTTTCTGGACAGAACACAGCCTGTGTGCAGCTTTCTGGCAGTGTCGATGCTGTATGACCTGAGGCTTTAGACCTTAGCTATTTTTGACAACAAAGGTATTTTGGAGAGCAGAAATTGATCTTCTGGCATGTACAGATTTTGTTTCTCCATCTTTTCAATTGTTTTACTTACTGAAGGAAGGAGTGATTTTGTTATCATTAATTTGGGGAGGTTAATTTGTGATGAAGAGAAAAAGTAGTGTAAAAAGAAATTATCTGCAGCCTGTTTGTTGTTGCTACTGTGATGTGTGAAACCCAAGATTTGAGAGCGACTCACCAGTTCCCAATTTTCCAGCCTTTGTGAGATGCAGCAAACCCACAGAAGTGATGAGAAATAATTTTTCTCTTAAATGCCATCTTCAGTTTTGTGTCTACGCAGCCTCATTATGCAGAACTGCTCATTACAGGCTGTGCCTGCCTTGAATGCAACGAGTTACTTGAATTATTTGCAGGTAGATGTTTCGCAGAGGTGAACCTTGAAATGTTAATGTAGTACTGCTCGATACTCAAGGATCACTTTGCCAGGGTGCTTTACATTGCAGTATGGTTACATTACAGCCTTCTTGCTGTCCCCCACAGCACTCCAGCGTGTTTCCAGCCTCCACTCCTTCTGGCCTGTCTGATGACCCGCAGTCCTTGTCTCCATCTCCCAGCTATATGTGGGCCTCTAATGCACCTCCTCGTTACTCACCGCCGTATTTTCCACCTTTCGAAAAACCACCACCTTACACACCGTAAAGAATGTGGGAAAGAAGAAAAAAGCATTTGCCATTGAAACAATTGTGAACATTTTGTATTTACATTTTACTGTGGGAGGGAGCAGGGGGATAGATGCAGAAGATAATTGCAAATACAGATCTAGATTGGACAGTTGTTTCTTGCCAGACTTATTTCAGGAGTTTAGTGATGGCTGGTGAGGAAGGGCACAGACTGCTGAGGTTTTGCAGTGTTGGTGAGTAGCAGGTGACCTAAATTCCAACCTCTTTGGTTCATGTAGTCCTTGATTTTTAATGAAGTGATCCAACACAGATAATAGATTCTGGTCTGCCTTACTCCATCTTATGCCAAGCTGAAGTAAGGGTAGCCAAGATCCATAGCTACTGGACACTATCAGTGTGTTTAAGGTGAAGTTGCTTGCTGGCAGAGCGACTCAATGCTTGTTTTGTTTGGCCTTTTGGCTGCAGTTGCTGGGCTTTGGGGAGGGGGAGCACAGAATCTAGCTCACATCACTTGTTGGTTACAGCCTGCACACTAGAAAAATCTTGGGGAGAACTGTGACAATGTCTCAAACTTTAACACTATTGAAGAGGGATAACACCACAGGATAGTCTCATGTACGTGTAGCAAAACAATTGGAATATTGCATTTTTGAGGAGGGAAAAGCTTTAATAGGCAAGCTGGTTTTATTTCAGGATGCTTCTTAAGATAGAAGGTGAAAAGGAGTCGTCTCTCTGAATTCTGAGTAAGTAATGCTGAAGTCAAACAGTTTGGGTGGTTGCATTGCCTAAATCTTCCTTGTATTCTTATAAAGAGCATCAGGAACTGTCCACAAGTCACTGAAACAGTGCAGTGATAACATTATTTATTTATTTATTTCCCTTCTGTTTGGTTGGGAATTTTTTTTAAGCTTGTACTTTTAACTTTCTAGTGGACTGAATCGGCACCCTGAATAAGCACTGGTTTAGTAGCTGTGTTACGGGCTGCACATAAGGGATATCCACTACTAGTTCTCCAAGGTGTAAGTCTCACATGGATAAAATTCAGCACCCTGTAATATAGAATGAAACAGGAATTTGCAATTATTGTTGTGACTTTCATTTAATCTTCAGCTGATGACTGTGCTGATTGATCTAGATTCCAGCAGATTTTGCATGCATCCTGCATAACAAAAGAAGGTCAGCTTTGATATGTGACACACTGACCTGTAAAGTGTGGTTCTACTCCAGCAAGTGATTTCAGAGGACTGAAATCTGAGCTGCTCAACCTGAGCGTTCTCCACTGCTTACCTTGGGGATAAAAATAAGGTATTGCCATTTTACTCCTTGTTTCCTAAAGATTTCATTTCCTTGGCGTCAGTTGGTTGACCCTAATCCTCAGTTCTGTCTTTACTTTCAACTGATGCAGACAAAAGGTTACCTAAAAGTTACATCTGGCTTTCAGAATCTAAAAGTGGAATACGTGCTAGGGGGGTGGGGGAAAATCCAGTTGGATTTTAAACTGTGGCATCTACTTTTAATCTAAGAATAAAAATTAAAATAAATTAAAACACTGTCAACATGGAAAACAAATACTGCAGTCTCTGATCTCACTTTTCCAAGTACACCCACACTTTATAATGCTGTTTTTAATCCTATGCATTTGCAAAGCCTTTAGGCTAGACTGTGTGTTAACCTTATCATTTCCACTGTCAAATACTAATCAGTATATCAGTACGTTAAAGGATGACACTGTTTATCCAGAAGCAAGTGTAACTTTTCTCCAGTAAGAAGGGAAAATAAACAGCTGGAGAAAGGAATACAGCTCATGGGATTTAAAGCAGTAGTGTATGCAGAGCATATCCTGGTGATATTTTGTTTTACTATAGGTTGTTGAAGTGCAGCTCCTATAAATTTGTCTACTGGACATAAATTTGTATACTAGGGCATCCTCCATTTTATATTACATTTTACTGAATAAGTCTTGATAAAGACATCATGGGCAATTTCAAAACAGACAGTACTTCTCTTAATAGAACTCCTCACAAAACTAGAATCAGGGCACAGTAATTTAGTATCAGAAAATATTTTATTGCTGTATCTTTGGAGTAAAAGCTAACAGTCCTGTCCCATTTCTGACAAATGCTCTACCATTTGTGCCTGTCAACCAAATAGGGCTACAAGGACTAGGTGACACCACAGGACAGGACTGAAACTCTTGAGGGGAACATAACCTAGTGGCAGAGAAACAATTAGGAAATGATTGTGTTGAGTTGAAAAACATCAGACTTAGGAAATTATCCAAATTCTCTTTTTTTTCCTAAGGAATATTTTAGCAAAAATTACATTGCTGCTTTAAATTCACTATAAAAGGACAAGTCCATTTTCACACTTAGAGATTACTGGTGGGATTTTCTGTTGAATTACCTGTTTCCTTCTGCTTGAGTAAAACTAAGCGTTTAGTGTAACTGCAACATTCTGCACTGTATCCGTCATTTCTTAAGAGAATGTCAAGTTTGTGACTCATATGTACCCTTTTATTACTTTACCAAAGTTAAATAAAATTGTGTGACTTTTGTAAACATTTACAAATTGCATTTTACATTTGAGCAGCTTTCCCGTTTTACAGCATCTTTAGTGTTAGTGGAGAAATTCCAGTATAATGGAATTGTGCATGAAAAACAAATCAAAGCAAAAAAACCCACCTCCATTGGCTGTGTTGGAAATGTGTTTCTACCAGAATTAGCCAATGACACCTTTTTGTAAATTCTGTTTTTGAAAGGCCCAGTGTCCCCACACTTCATAATTCTGCAGTTCTACCCACGTAACATGATGCCCTGACCTTGAGCACTGTAAAGTCATGACTGCTAAAGCACAAATAATCCAGCAGTGGTGTCTCTTTTTCTTACTTTCATGTTTACTATACTATTTTGGGCCTAATTCTGTCCTGATGATGACAGCTGCTCCTTGAGGAGAACAGAGCTAGGTGGAAGCCTCATGCCAAGGAGATAAAGGCACCTAAACCATCATTTGATGTGTTACTTATTAAATTGCATTCCTTACCTGTAATAAGAAGTCCACACAAAGTGAATTATTATGTCTATGTTAGCCACAGGTCACCAGCAATTGAACTCTTATGAACCATAACCAGTCAGCAGACTGGTAAGAAGAAGCGCTCAAACCACGACTGAGCTGAAATGCACTGCACTACTGGTCACTGTATATGTTTTACTGGACACTGTGGATGTTCTTGATTTGGAGCTCATTTGCATGACAGCAGCAGTTGGTCAGTGTTCCAAAGGAGCTCTGCCTGTTCTGAGAGGATGTGTCTGTCGTGTCCATTGCAGTACTCGGCTCACAACACACACTGGACATGTTCAGCTAATTTGCTTTCTTAGAAAATGTTCAGTAGAAACAAACAAACAGCAACAAAACAAACAAAACTAAAGCCCCAATAAAACCACCATTCCTTGCCCTCATCCCTTCCTGTGGTGAGTTCCCTGCTATCCCCAAACACCTGGAAAAGGAAGCTGCAAACAGTTGGTAATCAAACATGTGAGACTGTTGAGTTGCAGTTAAAAAGAAACATGCTACACTCATCTTTAGAATTAAACTTTTTTATTTTTGCCATAGAAAGCTCTAAGAACTAATATCAGGTGTTGATTAATGAAAAGTAGAACACAATTTTTAAAAGTATGATAAGGAAAGACTGTACAACTATATACATTACAGACCTGGGAAACCCAGGAAATGCTTCACACAGAAGATTTCCTAGGCAATAGCTGTAGAACTCAGGAGTTCAATGTATATAGTTGTCAGCTTCTGCATCACTTTATAAGCTGCATGCCTTAACAGTACAAAATAAATATGCAGTCAACTGGTAGCCCAATATTTGTTTAGTTCACACAGTGGAATGTGATGAATCTCCAAAGAAACCAGACCGAGAGGATGCAGCCACCATTACCATATTCTGCAGTTAATGTTTTTATATGCATATAAATGTCTGTGAGGTTTGCTACCACACTCTGTTGCAATTTTTAGTTTCTATATAAATCCTCTGTCAGATTCAATCTTTTTATTTCGTTACCCCAAAGCCAATTTCTTAATATTTACACAATTTTTTTTCATTAAGTTAAACTGGAAGCTAAATGCTTACAAAAACAAACAAAAACACAAATATAAGTGCAATAGCCAGAAATCTAAATATAAAAGCTCATGGTCCCATAGAAAGTTTTAAAAGAATGGATTTGACATGTTTTCAAACCAAAATAATGAAATAATTTTACTGGAAGTGAAATTAAAATAATGCTTTACATGACCTCTGGACTTTGGGTATTAAAAATCACTTCCAAGGAAAACTGAAGACCCTGAGACACATGCAAGCACGAGTCTTCTAGCAAAAATAGTTACAAAGCCCTAATTTTCCAGTTTTCCTCTAAAAAGAGACCTTTAATAGGCACAGTTTCATTTAAGTTTTTAAATATATCAGCAGCAAATATTGATAGCCATTACATTTAATGTTGCACACTTTGCCATGTATGCTTAACTCCAGATGTGTCACGTCTATAATGTTGTATTTGTCTTGCACAAAGTTGAGGGACTCACACACGGCAGAGCTGCTGTGCCAACGTGGGCAGCCCACACTGCGTCACGTGAGGAGCATGCTGGACTGCTGCAATGCCACCCCGGGTAACATCCCACCTGTAACATTTACAGCATGCCCCACTATATCCAGGGGGGCCTGCAGTATGACCTGGAACTAATCATGTGTGTTGAGTTCTTGGCTGACAAAAGAGAAGTGCTGAGCGTTACGTGCATAAGGTAAACAAATGCTCCTCTTCTCCTACCATTGCTCACACAGATTTCTGGTATCCTTTTTAGTAGCTTGAGTTGTGTTTGAACCATTTACCATTCAAGTGCCTTTCTGTCTAGAATACTCTATGTCTAAATCCTTAACGTGGAAAGTCATAGGATCATGCTTACATAAAGCATGAAAAAGAAAGAAAAACCTGAAACTGCAACTGAAGCAATGAAAGGTTACAATAACTATAGTACTACGCACGACAGTCTCAGTCACCTCTAGAACTTGAGGTTTCATATTACCATTTACAAAAATTCAACAAATCACTATCTCTGAAGTGCTAAACTATGACTCCAGTAAAGAGCTCTTTGTTTTTCTCAGATCTGCAATTTCCTAATCAAGTTGGACATCTGATTTACCTTCTAAATGCTTTAGCATGTACCAACTGCAAGGAGAATAAAAGGACAACATAATAAACCCAAACCTGAAAACAGATAACAACTAGACAACTGCAGAGAAATAATACTTTGGATTATGGTGGATGAAGGGTATTTTTTGATTGTTGGTTTAGTCCTCATGTAGTCCACAACCTATAAATTCAGCGGGAAAGCTTCACTGGTTTCACTTGAAGATCTACCCAAACAGGATCCTCAGCAGTCTCAGTGCTAGACCAATACAGCATTTACATGACTGTATAGCTTTGAGAGACCTTCAGCTAAAAAAAAGAAAGTATTACTCTTATCTTAACTATTACTTTGTCCTAAATACCAGACTGAAGCCTTTGAAGAGCAAAAAAAGGAGCAGCACTTTATATGACACTAACTCCTGACATTTTTTCCAGCAGTAAGAAAGCCAGACCTTACTCCTCAAGCTTTAAGAAGGTAAAATTCTCTCTTTCCTAAGGGTTCTAAGCTGCTTCACTAATTGAGCTTTGTGAGTTTGGGGGCTTTTTGCCATTGCAAAAAGAGTAAAATAAAATAGTCTAGACACTGAATACTCTGCTCACCACACAGCCAAGTATAAGTAAAGTTTGTTCAAGTGAACCCTAATTGAGTGTCTCATTGACAAGACTATTTGCATGAAGACAGATGATTCACAATGTTTATAAAAGCAGAACTAAGATGCTAGCTCAAAAACAGACTACTCCAGTGTAGTAGATCATCAGTTATTTTGGCCCCTTGCAGCAATGCATTGTTCACAAATATGAGTTGTGGGATTATTTAAATGGTTCCATAATCAAGAGACTATGATGAAAAAGTCTTACTGTTTTCTCTGTTAACATCTAAACAGAATTCAGCCTTAAGTGCTAACATGAAAGAAAGGGTTTACACAGTAACTATGGGTACAGGAAATACCTCAGTTACTTCAGAAGAAATATTTCTAGCTCTTTAGAAGAAACTGTACCTTTTCAAGCTACAAATCCTTATGTTTTGAGCAAATTTAACATACCAGAAAACACTGCCAGCTCCTTGGAAATGTCTTGTTCCCTATTCAAGTAAATTTTCAGATGAATTGCTTCCACAAATCACTTGCAGTTAACATGAGCCATCTACGTGCTACCGTTTGATGACTTGGTAGAAAAGTGAACTTGTTTTGATTTAACCTTTGATTTTACAGCAGTTTTAACAGTTCTGTTAAAACAGCTGCAATATTTCTGCACTGAGTCCTTTCTCCAGCGCTTAATGCATTTCAGTAAGACTCTGGAATTACAAACTCAAATTCAGTACTTCCCTCTGACGGATTTTGTTTAAAAATTGCTTCATTTCCCTGTGGAACGAAAATGTCATCCCAGGTAATTTGTTTGGCTGGAGGGTTAGATGTTGTGCCTTCAGTGCCATCCTTCCCTGAGCCAACACGATAAACAATTCCACCCTCATTTATTACTGGGATACTGCTGGAGTGGTTCCTAATGTACGTGTACTGTCTGATCCGCAGGGACCTGCAGGGGTGCAGGCGGTAAAGCTTGGTGTCTCCGGAAGGGTTTTGGCTATGCACTGATCTTATGTGGGAGGCTGTGATTTGATAGTTGATGAAAGATTTGCCACAGGCCAAGCACTGGTACCTCCTCTCCCCAGTGTGCTGAAGTTCGTGCTTGGTACGATACTCGGCAAGAGGAAAAACCTTGTCGCAGTACCGACACTGATACTTCTTCTCCCAGGAGTGCATGTTGAAATGTCTCCTCAAGCTGGTCAGACACGCGTACGACCTCTTACACACAATGCAGATGTAGTACACTCTGCCATCCACGATGAGCTCGTAGTGGTCATCGTGTTTTAATTTCATGCGCTTCCTGCTCGAAGAATCATCACCAGATGGTTTAGGTGTCTCTTCAGGCTTGGCTTCACCTCCCTCGGCATTGTCCTTCACGGGGATGACGATGTCATAGGTATCCTCACCAATGTTTGCATAAACCTTGTAGCCTGTGGATAATCCTTCTATTTCAGTTGCTGTATCCAATGTTATGATTTTCTGCCCGTCTGCCACATTCTTGGATGCTATACCTGAACTCAATTCCTTGTTGTTTTCACTTAGGACATCTGAGATTTTTATCTTAAACTCTCCAGGTTTAGCAGATGGCTCCTGTGAACACGTAACAAGCTGTTTTTTCTGTACACCTGATCCTTCAGTGCTTGCTGCCTTGGGAACAGGAGGTTGCTGAACCAAAGAGCTGCTGCTGCCTGAACCAGGACTAGAGGAGCTAATGATAGCAACATCATCTTCGACAACATCTTCATCATCAACAACAGTGGGTTCCACTTCAGCATTATTAGACGGCTGCTGGTCCTCCTTAAGTAAATCAATCGTAGGGGTCACATGTGTTTGATGCAAGGAGCTGGCACCAAGCGAGGAGTTAAGCATAGGCTTGTTTAGCACAATGATATTAGGAGTCATGTGCTGCCGTGTTGCAGAGACAAGTGATTCAGCACCAGATTGTGGTTGGTTTGGGTTTAGCTGACTGGCAGACGTGAGGTTTTGAGCTGCTGTGGTGCTCGTCAAATGGGGAGAGCCACCACTGCCACAGGAACTTTGGTCAGAAACTCCAGCTGGACTTGAGCAAGGCTGGTTCTGGCTGACAGCATTTATATCTTTAGCACATTCTTTTGGAGGGACAATCTCAGAACAAAAAATTATATCATCATCCTCATCATCTGAGTCGCTCACTGTAATTTTTGTAGTCTCATACTCTATGCCATGCAGGGAGAACGATTGAGTTATAACTGGCATCCCATCTGCTGCCTCTTGACTCTCTGGCCTTATCACAGGGACTTGTGTTTCAGCATCCCTCTGTCCCGGGCCAGAAGGTGAAGCTCCTGAAGCATCATCTTTGTCCTCACTGACAACACCTTTGCCTTCGGGTGGAGGTATGCCCAGATGAGCAATGAATTTGACACCCAATTGCTGCCCTGACTTGATCAGTTCATCGAGTAAATCAGAGCGAACGCTGATGATTTTGGAACTGTAAATATAGTTAAGGATTTCTGCAAAAATTTCTGCTCTTACAAAGCTCAGTTCAACCACTTGATCAGCCACTGAGAAAAGCTGGTGAAAATAAGTGCTTGAGGCTGAAAGGATGTTTCTGTGAGCTCGAAATTTCCTGTCCCCCACGATGACTGTAACATCACAAAAGAGTCCATGGCCACGCTGTTCATTCAGAGACTGAAGGAGCACACTAGAATACTGTGTGTCTGTTGCAGAAATCAGTTTTTTCCCCTCCATTCCTACAAAGAGAAAGTAAAATATACCAAATTAGCAAACATACAGATACACAGTTTTAACTGCATGACAGCGTTCCCACATTTCCTGTCTATTCCTTCTTTTGAAGAAAACAAATCTGAGATACTATTCATACATGTTATGGGCTGCAGCACTGTGAAAATTTGTTTCTTCCTGTTGTTTGTCCTTTCACCTTCTGCACAAGGTAAGTGCAATTCTGACCATATCCTCTGCTCTTACAAGTTAGTTACACAAGAGGAACAGAGAACCAGCCCCTTACGCTATGCAACAACAAATAAGGTAAATTTGAAAAACAAGAGGATGGAAGATTTGGGTCCCTCAAACAGCTTTAACCATTATTAGACATTCCATAAATTGCTATGAGAAAGCCCCGAAAACATCAGGTTATTTATGGGCCAGACAACAGAGTCTGTGTATCCATGTATTACCAGCCAGCTGAGTGAATGACAATGCCATACATACTGCACTTCCTTCTGGGAAAAGCAAACTTTCTTTTATATTTGCAAGGCTATTTGCGTTTCGAACCGAGACACCGAAGCAGCACAGCAACAAAACGGAACCGCAAAGTCAAACGAGCCCGTCTGTCGGCACTGCCTAGCCGATCGCCACGGCCTAAGCCCCCAGCAAGCTGCGACCCCCAACCCTCGGGCGCGGAACGCGAGTCAGGGGCTGCGTGCCCCTCACTGCCCCCGCACGGGTTTATTGCCGCGGCCGCAGGGCCGGACTCCCTCGCTGCGACCCCCAACCCTCGGGCGCGGAACGCGAGTCAGGGGCTGCGTGCCCCTCACTGCCCCCGCACGGGTTTATTGCCGCGGCCGCAGGGCCGGACTCCCTC